CAACATTTGTTCTGATTTCACTTCACTATATGACAAAAGGGGTAAACCCGATGAAAAACACAGAAAAACAAAACAAAAGCAAAAAAATCACTTTTCATGTTGTTCTTTAGTAGAATTATGAAATTATGAAGTCATTTGCGTGGATCGGCAAAAGCTTGGAGATTAATTCTTAATTTTTACAGAAGCTGAAGGCCTTTTTAGAGACCATCAGTTTTCTATCAAAATAAAACCTGAATGGATATGAGCTTCCTCACACAACTTAAGCAATTCCTTTCCACTTTGAAACTCATTCAAGAAAGTACCTCAAGAACCATGTACACTGACATGTATTTAGAAACACTGATAGCCCACAAAGATGTATGTTCAGTCGAGCGATCATCCTCATTTTGATTGCAGAAACCTAGAGATTATACCTTGCAGACTGGGTTTCTTGGGTACTTATTGAATTCACTAGTGAATAAGCAACAAATACCGTCTGTGAGAAAAATGAAAAGAAAATGCAACCCAAGTTAGATGGCGGTGAGTAATGTTTGGAGTACCTTATATACCAGCACTAATTTGAGTGAGAATAAAACTTTTTAAGAAAGTTATTGCAATCAAAATTTGAACTTCTTTACCTTAAGGCCATCTTGATTATAACCAAATCATTGCTACATGTATATTAGGCATCAACTTTGTAACAAACATGTTACGGGTAGATCCCAAAACTTTCTTGGATATCGACTGTTTCAGAAAATCCAGATGTTGAGATGTATTTCTAGTGCTGTGTATCCCAACGCTTGCAATATTAATGTTATTATTAAAAGAAAAATGAAATTGTATACATTAGGTCAAAGTCACACAACTTACGCCTGTACACATCCAAATAGAAATTGTATTCCATAGCACCTCATAATTACAACTATTAAACCAAACTTCGAAATTAACTATATTTGTATAGGAACTGGCACCACATATATTTGAATCAGGAGAGATTGTGTTGTTCTGTTAATGATGTCTTTTTTTAGGTTGGCTATGGGGAAAAATCGTTCTATTTTAGTGTAACAAGTGCAAGATGAAGCAAGCCAGTGAAAACATGAAGAACTGATAAGGTTAACTCAATTTTGATTACTTAGGATACTTAAGGCGCACCAACCGTATGCCAGGTAGCTTTCTATAACATTATAACAAAAGTACTGTATTTGGAATAAGAAATGTGTGTTGACCTTTAACCCTCTTACACTGGCCTTCAACAACCAATTTAATACCAGCCTTCAAAGGATTTTACATCCCAAGATTTCTCGTTGCACAGTTTTTAGTGAGTTTTACACCATAAATCCTTTCCATATGTTGGAAGGACAATAATCCAACTTCTATGTCCATTTTTTGGGTTGTACTGGCGTATATCCGCAATTGGGAAGCATGTGCTATTTCTGTGTTGATCACCGTTGGAGGGTTGACATCATCCAAAGTTTCACTAACCCAGTCAGTCAAGTAGACTAAACATATCTGTAATACACTTTGAATAATGTCAATCTCTTCCACAGACTCCGTTTCAAGAGATTCCTCTTTGACAGACTCCTCTTCAACTGACTCCTCCTCAAATGAAACCTCTGGTCCATTTTTATACTGCTATGGTGCTTCTCTGTGAAGACATAGCCACTTATGCCCAAAATGGGAAAACATTGTTTCCAGCCACGATACGTAATGCTTCTCAGTACAATGCATTTGAGTTTTTCCCTTTACGAAGAAACAAATGCTCTAATCTAGCAAAGCAAATGGCATTTGGTTGAGGGAAATCCAAGGAATATCACCTTTAAAGCATTTTGCTAAGTGATGTAACAAATTATGCTTGCAATGAGTAAACAAAGTTTTCATGGCACTCAGGCTTGAAACCAGAAAGTCTGTTTTGACATATTGAAGGAGTTCGTGTTCCACACTTTCCATAACAGCTATCTTAAATAAATGGCTTAAAATATGCGAGCGTCACCTTGATGACAATGCACATTTGAAGCTTGCGACAAAATCTTTTATCAGATCCCCAAAACTGCGAGCAAGTGGTTGTGTATCCTTACATGGAGAAAAATGGAAGATAGGGAACAGAGGATTGTCAAGTGTGGGCGTAGTTGACCTTTGCGTAGTGCTGCTGGGCTGAACTTCACCAGGAAATCCACAGGAAACATAATTGATTTACAATGCGTCCTCTGCCTCTGACAGCGTCTTGAAATGTATAGATAAGTGCTTTGTCACCCTTGTTCGACAACTGCTACCTAAAGACAAAAGAACCAGTAGTAAGTTCCCCAAACAAGAAAGTAACAGTGTTATTGAGCTTGCTGAAATTAAAACACACCAGATAATTTCAAGTAGAGTGATGTAAACTAAAGAGGATCGTGGAAATTATAGTAAAGGATGGAGTTCCGAAATCAATCCGCAGTTATTCAAAAAATAATGCACTTGAATAAAGTTTGACAAACCTGTCCTTGAAGAATTTGAAAGTCTTGCTGACTGCATCAGCACAACCATCCCAAAACTTGGGGTCAGATTGCATAAGTTATTTGTCGAAACCAGCATCGTCCCAAAACAAGCAAATGTACTGCACCAGAGCAGATATTTCAGCGTCTGTCCACTCCTTTCTTCCAAAAATAACAGTCATTAGAGTTTGTATGGGAACATTTACGACCGCCGCAGTTCACTTAAGTGGATAGAAATTGTATACTTAGATTCACAGGACCTCCATATGTCATAGCCCAATTTTAGAGAAAAAATTGGAGAAAAATTGTAGTGACAGTGTAATCATAAATAGCTATCTACAGTAAATGTGATGTACCAAAATTAAGTTATTAGGCATATTGACCTCAGCAGCCTTTACCTTTTGTCTCATCAAGGTAAACTGTTTCCTTTTTAGAGCCATAATCACGTATGTAAGTTCCCCTGTCAAACAGGTCACTCACAAACTGTAAATCAGAGTGTTGCATTTCTCAATTAGCAAAAATTTAAAAATTATCATTGCTAGCAATTCTTTATTACAAGGTTTTTGAAACTAAGCTTTATCTTATTTTCAAGGCATATTTAATTTTGACAGATTCTCCCTGGATTCAATCAAACAATCATATATTCCAATATACAATAAATGCTGAGGCTGGGGTTCAAAAGGTGAAATGCATACCATTATGCACTCTTCAAAGAAAGCAACATAGCTAAGAATAACATTTCTTGCAGCTCCAGGACTTTCCATATAATACTGGGTCACTTTCTCCAGGGGCAGTGATCTTTCTACTATGTCTTCAAAATTCTGTAGAACTGTTCTTTCAGTAAACCCTGAAGAATAATCATTTGTAGAATATTCATCTGTGAGTTTGGAGGAATGTAAATGTTATGAAACACACTAGCAGTGTGGTTAGCATAAAGAGTCACAAAACTACATGGTATTTGTCAGGTAAATGGAAATTACTAGAAAAGAATATACCTTGTCTCTAAAACAAACTGGTTGTTCAAATGAGTTTCATGCTGTTACTGAGAATTAATACAGCTCTTCCGTATGTTTCATATGTACTGAATTAGCTAATTCCTAATAAATAGCATTGGGAATGCTAATAAAAAAATAATAACTGGCCTAAGGTGAATGATAAACAAATATGGCACAATAAATTATATCAAATACAAACAAATGGCATACCTGAAAAAGATGCCACTTGAATGTTTTGTCTCATTATTTCTGTTTGCTGGCCTTTTCGTTCCTTGATAGTTACTCGTGGAAACCCACGGAAACTTTCAGGACCATAATTGGACAAAACCTCTTTTAATTTATCAAGGCTTCCAATGCGATAGGCAAACAACCCCGATGAACCCAAAAGCTGTTCACAATTTCTCATCTCACAATGCAGAGAACAAAGATTAATGCTGTTTAATTCTTCCTCTAATAGGAAATTAAGGTCATCTCGAAGGCCTGAACACCTGTATAGAGAGAAAGTAAAGAGAGTTGGTTGGGTTAGATTTGCCTCACATGAAACTTGTCTGTATGATACCAATAAATTTTATCAGGTATCTCACCTTGCGATGTTGGCTTTTGACCTTAGACAATCTAAACAGGTTTCATCTGCATCAACTCCATGGCATGTACAGGCCTCAATGGAAATAAGTAATTAATTAAAATTCATTTCTTAGGCAATTTCATGCACTTTAACAACAGATATAAACATTCAATTCTACAAAATAAAGTCATCAATGGCTGTTTTTCACTACAGTCATGTACTACCTCCAATTTGACTTGATGCCATTCTACTTTCAGAAAACTGATCTGATCATAAATCGATGAAATAATTAAAATCAAGGAAAATATCAAGAGAAATAATTACCCTGATTGCATCACAAAATACACAAAATTCCATATCCTTTCCCACCAAGAAGGAAACCTTCATCATTTTTTTTGTTGAGAAGAAGCAGCAAGGCCTTGTAATCAAGAGTCACTGCAGAAAAAGGAAATGTAAGGAAAAAATTACAGAAAATACTTTGATGTTCATAACACATGAGACTTAACACATAATAAAAAAATTGTGTCTCAGGAAAACTCACTTCTCCACATGTATCGCTTCTTATCTGACCACTTACTATGTTGAAAAGAACTCATTTTAGCGAGTTGTCCATTTCTTACTACATACATAAGAAAAGCCCAGGCTGCACATTCCATTACCGAACGCTCGATCCGAGAGGCGAAAAATCCAATCTTAAAATGACTGGGCGGCCACAAATCCAACGGACAATCCAAGCACATATATTTTAGCTTCATTTCAACTCACTATAAATTCAATCTTCCCCATGACTTTACTGCTCAGAGTCTTTGCAGGGTTACAAGTGCCACACTTGACCCTTCCAAGCACTGGTATCTACTTTTGAAAGAGGTATGTGGCGTCCCTCTGCGTAAATTTTTCATACGCGATGTATTTAGGATATTTCCCAATGAAATCCAAAGTGTGGCTGCGCGGGAACTTCAGCCCGCCAAATCATCGTTTGGAGTTGTGGAGATGGACAGGATTCCCGACGTCGTCCACGTTGTGTCCACGTTCGGTTTGGTTGCTGGTCTTCTTCGCAATAAAAAAATTCCCAACGAACTTATTAATTCTGCGGGATTTATGGCAATCGTAAATCTGGTCAACTCCGCCTCACCAGACTTTGAGTCCGAGGGCGCGAAAAATTTATCTTTTGGCGCCAAAACCAGTCAAGACTCCGAGGAGCTCGTTTCCTTACTTGCCGAAAGATCAGCCAGAATAAATTCCCTTGAAGTGGAAGTGAAGGAACTTCAAGCACGGATTTCACATCTCGAATCGAGCACGGAGGCAAGTTTAGACGATTCTTCCCTCCTTAATTCTCCATGTTGCTCATCTACTCCGTCAAGTTCTTCTAGTTCCTCGTGTAGTTCAATTGATGACACAAAGAACCGACCTGATTTAGGAACAATAAACAAGAAAAGACAAAGAATCACATTAGACATATTAGGTGAGGGAAGTAACGCAATCCATCCTGCATCTCATTTAACCTCAAACGCCACGTGGCGATCTTTGTGAGCCTTTTGAATTAGATATTCAAAGTCGGCAAATTATATAATTATTAGGTCAGAGTATTGGACTTTATACATCCACATATCGAATTGTACTTTTATTTGGCACAGCAAACGTCCGAACCAGACAATACATAATCCACCGCCGTACCAACAACCTTCTTGTAAATCAAGGTGAGGAACACAGCGTTTTATGTAATATCTGGGTTCTTGGTAATGATTGAGAAAAACAAACAGATCACTAAGAATTTTCGCAACTCGGATGAATCGAACACTGTAAATGTGAAAAATTTCTGATCCAATGAACTATCTTTTTCTGCTTCTTGTTTAGTGTTATAACTTTATGACAAAACAAGATATTTTATTTTATGGGATTTACCTGTTCTGGGCAATATCAGCTTGTTGAACAGGGAAACTTATTAGAACGCAAGTAAATCATCGGTCGGAAGTATATTTTTTGTTCGCGGATATTCCTATTGGAAATTTTTTCTTAAAAAATTTGGCAAACGAAAATGTATTTTAAGTTGATTTTAATTTGATTCGTTGAAGACTAATGTCCGACTTTCATAACCATGCAGATATTGGGTTAACTTCAAACACTATATTTGGTTATCATGTCAACTTCAAACATTATTGTAAATTGATAATATGCTCTCAACCATCCACGGTTTTCATAGTAAGTCTAGATTTGCCACCATAAAGAGCTTCTAAAGCTGAAGTTTCGAGTGTAAGCCCTAAGTCAGTGTGCCATTCGCTCAGAAAAAAATATATACGAAGTCTCAGTGGCCACTACCTTTTTATTTCGCGTCGCCGCTCTACCGCATTCACTTTCGCCATGCGCCTCTGTCCTTTGTGGTTACCCAACCTCGTACCTTGGAATGGGCAGATTTCAGAGAATTCTGTACTTTTTTAGGCGACTTAGTACTTCAGTTATTTTCGCCATAAGAAGGCCAAACTAGTCGTTCAATTTCGTCAACGCCAAATTATAATGATTGATGTAATGAGATAACATAAGAAATTTGGTGTTCGTATAGGCACAAGCGGCCCAAGCGCGCCTCAATTTCGCCTCAACGACAGGACCGCGGCCATAATTGCCGCATAGCAGGGAGGTGAACTATATACTTAGCCGGATAATTTTTGTTCTAGCCCATTTTCTTCATGATTCAGATATACCATTTCAGTTGGAAACGGGTAGATACGGGCTCTACCGATTCTCTTTCTTAAAATTTTTGATTGTTTGCGGAAACTGAATGCTTTAAACTGCAGCTGCTCTTCGGTTTCGAGTTTGCGCTCAAATTGGAAAGTTAGGCTAAAATTGGGCTAAAATGTGACCTAGCTTTGCAGCAAGATAGTAATGTTCGGGGTTATTCGAGTACATAACTAAATTGTGGTCACTAGCTCGCTTTAGTATCAAAGCGTTCTTCGGAGCGACGAACGAATTAACACGAAGGAAGTTAGATGTGTTAGATGTCAGATGTGTCAGTCACAAAAGAAGAACATGTAAACATTTCTTCGTGCTCGAAAGTGATTGAATTTGTAACATTCGCGTTGAAAATAAAAAAAGAAATGGAAAGAAAAAATTCCTCAGATGTTTATGACCAAAGAACTGGTTCATATGGCTCCAAAAAAAAAATGGACCAAATATGAAAAAATTAGAACGCTCAGATTTACATAAGGACTACCGTGCTATATTAAATGATATGTGATAGTGTTGAATGACGTCATGTCATGTCTCAAGTTGGGGTTTTTCCCGACTTTTACTTGGTTGCAAATTTGCATATACAAATTTGTGTGGCCCCAACTGTTATGCGTTTGTATTCGTTTCTTCGATAAAGTTTCGAACTCAACTCTGTACATCCTCTTACTACAACACTACAGGAAAAAATCCTTTGGCATTTTTCAAGCTAACTTAATTGGGTGAGTTTGTCCGAGCTATGAGCTTTCCTCTCATTGTTTACCTTTCGCTTCGATTAATTTTTTGGAAGGACAGGCCTTAACGTGTTCCATTGAAAAAACTTGACTCTGTGCAGGACTGAGAGAATTTTTCAGTCACATGATTGTTAAAAGGAAACGACCTGCACCAAGATTTCCTTCGTGTCCTCGTTAGATTATACTTTGAGCGTAAAACCTGACAACATGGCCTCATGCCAAAAATTATGCTCAAAATGTTTCATTACGCTCACGTTAATAATTGATCAAAGCGCTCTGTGAGCAAACTCGTAAATTTACAGATGACTCACATGTTTTTTTGGATTTTGTTTAATTTTATCAGGTTTAGGGAATTTTTTGGTTGATTGTCATATTTAGAGTACGAGCAGTAGTTCAGTGCTCGCTAATAATGTAGCAAAGAAACAAAGTAACGTTGGGATACATATCAAACTTTTGGTTCGGATTTTGGCTGGACAATAAGTCAAGCTTTTGCTCCTCTTTTGTCCTTATCTATTGTTTGCAGGAAAGTGTTTCTATTGTTCGCATGGCAAAGGTTAGTAATCACCGTCGTGTAGCCAGCTCACCGAGCGCGAGATTCAAATTTCGAACACTCGTGAACCATTACAACTGCAGCTTCTCCCTGAATTCAAACTCTGCTGAGCTAAATAAAACTTATACAAGTCATTTGATCTTACATGGTTTGATGCTACTCTGGTTTGCAGATTTAATGAATGTAACCGAAGAAGTTACAATTCATAGACCCAACTTTTCGACACTCCTGTCTAGTGCCTAATCGTAACTTATTCGGTTACATTCATTAAATCTGTAAACCAGAGAAGCATCAAACCATGTCGGATTGTCCACCTGGTTGCCGTGTGAACTTTAATATATTTCATTTGATTTTTCTCGGGCTCATTCTCGTCCCCAAAGCCCTTTTCGCTTCTCTTAGCCACCGGCGCAAGGAATGTAAAACAAAACATGTTGTCTGCAAGCGGAAGGGAACAAAGAAAGTGTGATTTCACACCTTTGAACGTTTGAGTGACTCAGTTGACGTTTCTAAATAAATAAATCATGGGAGGCAGCAAGTGGGCAGACAAATTAGGGGTATTTTTCTAAAGTTCAACAATAGCATAAAAAGGCTCGGAAACCTAGGCTGAAGTCATGAATCGCTTTCTACAGTTTGTGACTGAGCGTAACGCTAAGAAGTATGAGTAAGTTTTACGAAGTTTAGTATCGGTGATACTTACGAAAGGCGAATTTCTCGTTGAAGCCATAATTATGTTCTCCAAATTGCTGCCAGTATAACCGTACCTAGGGTACGAGTGACAGACATTTGTAGAAAAGCAGTGCTCAAATTCGTTTCTCTTGAAAGAAAAGGGTCAGATGGACGAGGAAAATCCTGCCTTCGCACGCCATACTAGACTAGTGGACTACAGAATTTATTTTCCCAATACAATTATTTTGTCCAAACATATCTCTCTACTTAGAGTCTTATTTTAGAATCTAGTTTCAACACGTTGTGTACTTTGAGAATGCGCCTGATCACTTTCTGTTGTACAAAAATAAACATTTGACCTGGGAAACCTTATGACTCAAGCATTTTTGTTTCGATCATATGACAAAATTTTGAAACTTTCGATATCAGCCCGCTCAAACAGGAACCTATCCTGAACTGGACATCAGCTCAGTCCAGTTTAACCAGGTATTGCTAGAATTTTCCTAATGATTCTTCAGATGATTACCGGCGCTCAGGAGAGGTGTATTTGCATATGAGGCGACTGAACTGGAACTTGATCATCTTTTTGGAAAGTCACTAGATTAGTTTTAAATCAAGGGGGAGGCTGAACAAACGTAACGCTTTGGAGTTTTACGGTCACTGTAGAAAGTCTAAATTCCTGTGTAGTGCAGTAGTCAGTGCTGATCATTGTGTATGTTAACATCAAACCATAACTAAATAAGAGCGCATTTCGATGGACTGGTGAAACCTAAACCAAAAGAAAACCAACCTGCTTTAGGAGTGTGATACGAAAGTGACCGAGAGGCGATAAGGATCAGTTTTGAATCTGATTGGCTGAGAATCACCCAGCGAAGTGAAATCCCGAATGACTTTTGACACCCATTTTAACTGACCTTGGAGTAAAATATTCAGCGATACTACACACCAAAACGTCTGAGATAATATATAGATTTAGCCAAGCCTAAAAGCGGAGCTCTAGTTAGTTTATTTTCCAGCCCTTCATTATACTTAATAAAATCTGTAATAAAACTCGTCCGCACAGACTGTAAAAGAGCTTCTTCAAAGGGATAAGAGACCAGACGAGGTCTGGAAAATGAGGACGATGTTCTCAAAACACACATGCTAGTCAGTGGTATCTTCGAACAGCTTAGCACCTTCGTCGTTGTTCCTAATATTTTGAGCAAATATTCGAAGACTGGGAAGTTATCTTCTTCAGATGAAGTGTATGATGACAGCATCAGTTTACATGGGACCTTGAGTTGCCGTAACTTTAGGCGACTTTGGGCGATTTAAGACGACTTAAGGCGACTTAAGCAAAATTGACACAAAAAATATTGCGACTTTAGGTGATTTAAGGCGACTTAGGGCGATTTTAAAGCGATTTTATTCGACTGAAGCGATAAAATCAAAGTTAGAAACAGTCTCTCCATAAACTTTAAAAATGTCTACAGAATCTCTTGCAATAAAGATAACAGTTTCAAGTCACTCGGTCAAGAAGTAGGTGAATCTAAGATGGAATTTATTTAGCCTAGTTTAACTTTCTTTCACTGGTGTTAGTTTGTGAAATAATAGTGCCTTCTGTGTTATAATGGTTTACTGAACAATGAATTGTCAGCCAGCATTGCTGTGTTCTGGACGATCACTATTTGTACCTTTTATGTATAGCTAGAATAGTAAAACAATGCCGTGGGAACCAACAAGATATTTGAACGACTCTTAGTCTGTTCCAAATTTATCATTTCTTTGGAATAAAAGACAGGTATGAAGTGAAATCATCTTCAACATGTCTCCTCGAGAAGATTGCTTTTCAAAGGTGATAGACAAAACACAGACCCTTAGTCCATAGACTACCCTGATGGAATATTCAAATATGCTGCCCTAAAATGAACTAACCTCACAAAATCCTATTTCGAATGAATTCTACTGAAAGCAGCGCCCCCCATAAACTTACTTTGCAGGCGCCTTCTTTGTTCTCTTCAGTCGATGCAATAAATAAGTGGACGTGCTTAGTTTGTCTGCTAACCTTGCTTCTGAAACACTCCAAAGTTCTTGTTTTGGCTAGGGCAGTCAGAAAATGACTCAGTTGATTGGAAGCATTGTGGTCAGTTGCTTTGCAGCTCATTTCGAAAGTCTCTTGAAGATGTTTGGTTTAGTGTTCTAACAACAAATGCCTAATCTCACGAGGTCAACCAGCTGGCATGCCCACCTATATCTGTCAGTAGTGAATTTATCAGTATGTTATTATAGATCTTACTTAGGAGAGTGGATTGGAGAGAGACTAGAATAGACTGGGAGAATGTAAACAGCTTGCAAAAGTGTAGAGACAAAATTCCGTAGTTGAAACGAGTGTTTAGTAGCACAAGCCGGTGAGAATCAAAGTGTCTAAGAAATCAACCAGAGTCGCATAGAATGAAATAAGTTTGGATGTTAGTAGAATTGTGTAGTGGAGAACCGGGTAATTAAAGAAAAATGTGAATAAGACAGTTCGAGAGTCTTTGTGCCTTTCGCCGAGCGTGGTGTGCTCGATAGCTAGTCTCCCGACATTTTATAGTGTAAAATACTTGGTGGGCAGTTCAGTCGCAGCATTATTTTGCATGTCACGAAACTCTGTGTTCCGTAGACTCTCTAATCTCCTTCGTAACCGTTCTGTGACTCGTCACGCAATACTTCTCCTCACGAACAGCCGTTTGCGGGAAGGAGCGTTGCGTGACGAGTCCAAGAACCGCTACGAAGGAGAATATAGGCTCACTGCACGCGTGTCATATACTAGCAAACTCCAAGATAATGGCGCTTTACAAGAAAAAAGAACGCCTTGAATCTGCTCTTCGGCTTGCCACACACGCTGGTTGAGCTATTTTTAAGTCGATATTTGGTGTCAGTTTTTTGCCTTGAAATGTTTATGATGCTTTTGTCCTTGGCTGCTTAATTTGTTTCGGAAATTTCTGAAATGATGACCAAAGTCATTTGCATTTTTTAGATGCCGTATGAGACAGAGTGACTGTGGCCGAAATAATCTCCTATTTTGTATTTTGCAACACATTTCACGATGCAGACGAGTATCATCGCAAAAGCGTACGTACACATACCAAAAAAAAATCCCCTTCTTCAAAGCCTAATCATTTTATCTAATCATATTCATAATATCGTAGGGACAAATTAGAAAGTCACCAAAGACAAAATGCCAATGCGAGAGAGCTGACAAAAGCATTTACGTGCAGCATTATTCAGCTTTATTATCAAATATTTGTTGACACTTAATGTGGATGAAGTTTGGTTTTAAGACTCACCTTATTTTCAGAACACACGGAACACACGCCAAGAGGATCTCGTCAGTCGGCCAGACGCAGCACATTTGAACAATTTGAAGAAACGATAAATCAGTTATTCTTTCTGATGAACAAAATGTTGTCATCAAAGAATTTCTTTGAAGAAACATTGAGTATTTTGACAAGTTTTGGCTACGGTTCAGATCACCCGGATTTAGTGCGATGTAAAATCTCTCTTCCACGGCTTTTATTGTGCGAGAACTTTCAAGAGGTTCCTCAGTTGAAGTCGCACCCTGACCGAAGCTGGCTAGAATCTCTTTCCAACGCGGCAGATGGAGTTGAGAGCCCTGATATTTCATCATTTGGAGAAGACAATAACAACTGGGACAGCAACGAAGAATTCAACGAACCAAGTAAAATTTCTAGTCAAGAAAACCGTGAAGGCGAACATCACTACCGCCTTACAAATCCATCCCAAAGGGATGAAAACGGAAGAATGAGCATCTCACAGGAGGCAATGGAAACACCAATTGAAGTCAGTGATGGACAGCATGACGTCCTTAAAGCTTCTTTTCAGGGAGGAGATATGGTTACAGACAGCAGTGAAGACCGCGATGTACTTCCTACAAATGGGGCTTACGGCTTCGACAAGGATTGGAATACCCAAGCTGTTGCCCATCCAAAAACACCAGGAGATTTCCATGAGAGAAGTTCGAAAAAAAAAATATCTTTTTTTTTGAAAGGTGGACGCCGAAGCGATCTTCCGTCGGGCCACAGTTCACAAAGGGATCCAAGTGAGGATTACTTTGGAACGAATCCCTTCAGTTTAGATCCCAATTTTCTCGCGCGTCATTCTTTTGAGTGCAATGCATCTGATGAGCGCTGGAATTCTTGTGGCCCATCTGAAGACTTTGAAATGCATGCAGGTTCACACTCCGAGTACAACAGATCTCAGTTGAAGTCGCACCCTGACCGAAGCTGGCTAGAATCTCTTTGCAACGCGGCAGATGGAGTTGAGAGCCCTGATATTTCATCATTTGGAGAAGACAATAACAACTGGGACAGCAACGAAGAATTCAACGAACCAAGTAAAATTTCTAGTCAAGAAAACCGTGAAGGCGAACATCACTACCGCCTTACAAATCCATTCCAAAGGGATGAAAACGGAAGAATGAGCATCTCACAGGAGGTAATGGAAACACCAATTGAAGTCAGTGATGGACAGCATGACGTCCTTAAAGCTTCTTTTCAGGGAGGAGATATGGTTACAGACAGCAGTGAAGACCGCGATGTACTTCCTACAAATGGGGCTTACGGCTTCGACAAGGATTGGAATACCCAAGCTGTTGCCCGTCCAAAAACACCAGGAGATTTCCATGAGAGAAGTTCGAAAAAAAAAAGATCTCTTTGTTTGAAAGGTGGACGCCGAAGCGATCTTCCGTCGGGCCACAGTTCACAAAGGGATCCAAGTGAGGATTACTTTGGAACGAATCCATTCAGATTAGATCCCAATTTTCTCGCACGTCATTCTTTTGAGTGCAATGCATCTGATGAGCGCTGGAATTCTTGTGGCCCATTTGAAGATTTTGAATTGCATGCAGGTACACACTCGGAGTACAACAGATCTCAGTTGAAGTCGGACCCTGACCGAAGCTGGCTAGAATCTCTTTGCAACGCGGCAGATGGAGTTGAGAGCCCTGATATTTCATCATTTGGAGAAGACAATAACAACTGGGACAGCAACGAAGAATTCAACGAACCAAGTAAAATTTCTAGTCAAGAAAACCGTGAAGGCGAACATCACTACCGCCTTACAAATCCATTCTCAACTCGTGATGGTTTTCGGGCGCAAAAATCATCCCCCGACTTAGTCCAAATACCCAAAACTGTTCCAGCGAAGACCTTAGCACTGCCTCAATCTTCAAGTTTCCTCGAAGATGGATCTAAGGCAAATCTCCCGTTGACAGTCAGAGGGTTTCCCATTGGTAATGCGCGGGCAAGTACTCCGCCAAATATCTTCCCAAATGGACATGTACTCGCCGAAAGGCCGATGTTGTCATCGCAGTTGGAAAGAAGAGATGACGCTCCGGGATTTCTTCTTGACGGGGAAAGAGCAGGAGCTGGTCAGGGTCTGTTAAACAGTAATTCAAACACATCTACTGACGAGTCATTGGCCGAACTCGAACAACTTGTGGCTGAAGCTTGCTCTCTCGTCGGGAGAACGTTGAAAGAAAGACAAGAGGGAAAGAAATTGATGAAAGAAACTGAGCGAAAAAGAAAAGATAGACGGGAAAGGAAAGAACAACAAGCACGAGAAAGAAAACAAAGGGAAGCGAGAGAAACGGAACTCATGAATGAAAGAGTAGAAAGGAACTCCACGAGCAGTGGACAAGAAACACCTTCGCAAGACTCGGCTCCTGCTGGGGTTCAACAATGGCTGTGTGAACATTATCAGCGGCTCTACCGTGTCAAGTTCTCATGCTGTGGAAAGTTCTTTCCTTGTCATCGTTGTCATAACAACTCTGGGTGCCCAAATGATAATTCCAAAGCAATAGAGGCGTGTTCTCTTGAGTGCTCTGTTTGTAGCCATCAACAAGAGGTAAACAGAAATGACATTGACTTGAAATTTTATATGAGAAGAAAGAGAATTCTTACCCTTAGGTTATGTGATTAACTTCGAATGCTTGATTTTTAAGATCAATCAGGACGCCCACACCTGTGTTAGATGCAAAATAAGGTTCTCAGCATATTTCTGCTCGGCGTGTAAACACTTCACGGGGAAGGATAAAGCTCCTTATCATTGCAAAAAATGTGGTATCTGCCGGTAGGTGAAACAATATTCATGACGAATTTTGTTTTAGTTTGTTTGGATAATAATTATGCTTGCTGTCCAACAAATAAGGGTCAGGGAGTTATTGGCCTGCTTTAGTACCAAGTCAAGGAGTTATTGACTTGTGTTACAGTATGAATGAAAAATCCTGAAGCTGCCTTTGGAGCGAGAGCAAAGTATTACGGAGTAATACGAAATGCTTCATCGATGAGTGCTTAAAACACCCCATTGCTAGTTGTTTCTTAAAAAGGAATAGAAATCCCAAAAAACATTAGTTTTGGTTTCCTCGTACCCATTACGTTTCGTCCTCAGTAATTATTCTAGCTTATCGAGTAGAAATACAGCGCTTTTCTTTACGAGTTAGAAACTTGTTTCCCTAACGAATCATGTTGTGCTCGAGTAAATAGCATCGAAGTAATGTTTCTATTTCCCGTTCAGTATCTACAAGGACAACTCCTTCCACTGCGATGAGTGTAACGTTTGTCTGAGAAAAGGGCTGGAAGGAAGTCATTCCTGTCGAACAGATTCAGGACACGATGAGTGTTGCATCTGTTTGGAGGTAGTTACGTAATTTACTTACTAAGGCTGGATAAGAGTAAAGAATGGGAGAAATATCTTCCAAAAGATTCGCCCTTTAACCGAAGCGATTAACCTTGCACTCAATTTGATTATATTCACCTGTCACGTATAGTGACGTTAGGTGCTTGCGTTTCTTGAGTCGGAATGTGGCGAAAGAGAAGCAAGGCAATTAAATCACAATCCAAATCTTTAGTTTTTGATTCGGTTGATCGATTCTTTATTTCCAGGACACTTTCAACGGTTGTGAGATCCTGCCATGCTCACACAAGGTTCATCAAGAGTGTGCTATTGCTATGAGGGAGAATGGCGTGTGAGTATGCATGAAATATTGTGATATTTATTTCTGGGAATAAACTCAAATATGGAAGAACATCCCATTGCTCCGCTGAAGTTTTGTTGGTATTTAATTCTGAATTGGATGTGAGTCCGTGAACCTGCTCGAGCTTTGATTGTGCAATGAGGAGTTTTCAGTTGCATATAAAATGAAAAACCTCCGTCTCCTCTTAAGGAGCCTCGGTCGCCAGTGGGTAAGATAGACAAAACAGCGATTGGTTTTTTGCGATTACAATAATTTCAGAAACGATAGGAAATTACATGAAGAATCAACAGCATGGAGATCCAGAGGAACAGACCTCCGTTCCCGCCTTCCTTAAATTGACATATCCCGGGTAACGCCTTCTTTGTCCCCTTAGCTTTTCTTAGGTCCAGAGATCGTTTCAATTTTGGTTTCAATATGCTCTATGCATGTTGTCATGGAGTTTTTTTTTTAAATCCAAAGCAATATTATTTCATCGGCAAACTTTGAAAGACTTTTTATGTTACGTAACCCAGATTTTACTGTGACCGTCCCACACTAGTTTTTCTCGAGTTCACTTGAACTATTTCCTTTTAATTTGCAGTGGCAGCTGCCCTATTTGTCGCCATTCTTTGTTCAGTCAGACAGGAATGAATGAATAACAACCTCGACCCCAGTGCTCAGAATTCCAAGAAAAGGCAAATTGTTCCTAAGAGGTTTAGATAGTGTCCTGATTGACGTTGTCATTTCTTATTGTAGGCGTCAATTTAACTCTTTATCCCTTGGAATGACTGGCTCCTAAGTTGTCCTCATGGTATTACCCTAGAATCAAATGGTGAATGTAACGAAAATAAAGGCAATGATCACAAGTTTAGGAAGCTCTTGATTGTCAAAGAAACTCTCGTTGTCAGTACCAGAGGAAATATAAAGAGAAGAGTGTGGATTGTTAGGGTATAAAATGTTAAAGATGGTAATAGTTATTTTAATCTAACCTGTACAAGGACACAAACCTGAGGGGGAAGGGGAAATGAGGGTGGCAGGATCCCCTTAGATTGAAGTGATTTCTACACAGTGACTTTAATATCCAAATTTACTGCTTTTAGTAGGAGGCCTTTCATCCCTTAAAGATTTGTGTAAAAGTGTCCAAAGCATCGATTAGTCTGGCGAGGAGACGGAAAGCTGTGTGTATCATAATAGTGAAGCCATTGTAAAATTCTATTTCTTAGTATTGTAAGGAAACAAAAGAATAAATTAGATTTGGTAGCGGGTTGTTTTTTATCGTAATCTAAAATGAAAATATGCTTTTAAGGATTTTATAACCCTTACACTTTCAGCCAAAGAAAACATTTCTTCTGGTGTTGTCATCAAATTCCTAGTAGTGTTTTATGGCTATTAGAATGCTGTGTGAAATAAGGCCCCTCTACAACCTTTTTTTCAAATATAGTTACACCAGAAGAGGAAGGAAGTCTAATGGTTTCAAATTTCACCTTCTTTGCCTTCGGGAGACGTGTGATAGAAATGAAGGAAAGAAAAACTGAGCTTGCTCTTGAATTTTCTTAGGTTTTTACCCTTTTTATAGTTGTGTAAGTAGTTTGCTATTTTATTCTGATGAAACCTTGGGATTTCAAATTTCAAGTAACTATGCAAATCATGGCTCCACGAAAATTACATCGTTTCAGCAAAGAAACTATACCGAAGTCCTATTGAAAATGATTATTTACCTCGTCTTAGCAAGTTTGTAGTAAATTGTTTTTGCTACCAGACATCAGAGTCTCTCCATTCTCTTTCTCTTCTCCGTTTTTCCAATTTTTTAATAGGCAAGCAACTAAACAACCAATTTGGCAAATTAATGCGTCGCGAACATATCTTTCGGCACACATCTTTTGATCCCCGTGTGGAGCAAAATGAAATGTCCTCCCAAGAACATGAGGTTTTTTCGGAGAGGGGGGGATGACCAAAACCTCTTAAAATGAGAACCATTTCACAATTGAATTTTATCAGAAATGAGCTAGAAGCTCTGCAAGTGTGGCGCTTATTCATGGGCTGCGCCTATTTGAGGATGGCGCTCATTGAATGCAACACAGAAATCTTCTTTTATAATTCAACAGTATATCTCCTGTCTGTTTGAATAATTTACAAGCACTAACGAAGCACTTATTGATTGTCAGGAATCGTTTCTTCCCGCATATTTCATTTGTATTATCAGGGAAATATTTACTCAACTTTGATCTCACGATCCCTTCTAAACCTAAGGGTCTACTATCTCCAGCGTGGAAGAGCACGCTTCTTCTTAGTCTTCTTCTAGTTCTCCTGAGATATCAAACTGTGTAACATTAGGGGATTATGTCCGCGAACAAATATCTGTGCGTTTTTTGGCGCCAAACGAACTCGATTAGTCTGGTAAATTTCTACACCGATCTAGCTCTATCTACTACCATAGTCAAACCGCGTTGGATATCGCGTTGGATATCGCTGGCTCAAGAAACGTTTTTCTGTGCCTATTTTTTTAAAAGCGATTTAGCTCGTGAAATAGTGCCAGGCTCTCAAGAACCCGTCACTCATTTTTAAAAAACTCATTGCTGGTTCAGAATTTCATATCATGGCGCTAAAGACTCAGGCTTGCATACGATGGCTACAGACTGAACTCGGACTCAGTCGCTGTCTTCTCAGGGCGCACGAGAAGAGTGTGGGGTGTGGTGGGAAGAGAATAAGTCAAATATATTATGGTCATATTTGATTAATTTATCATCATTCCAACAACTCTCCGCGCCCGCGCCTTGCGCCCGCGCCCGCGCCCGCGCCTTGTGGCCATAGTATTCACATCAGAATACGAAACCCATGGACTTCAAATTATTATGCCACTTCCTCCATATTTCTGAGAATTAAACAGAAAACGCATAAATTATGAATGGCGTCCAACAATAATATCTTCTATCTTCTTGCTTTATGTTTTAAACGATTAACCATGCAAACACATCACACTTCCTTAGTTAAGACCGCAATCTTAGTTAACTAAGCTTTCCCGAAGGCGACTCATGAACCATAAAAGGAAATAACTCTGTGATAGTTACGTTAATCCTGCCCATGCGGAGTACTAATCATTACGTCACTTCCTTTATATTTCTGGGAAGTACGGTGGCTTCGAAAAAGCCACTGATTGTGAAGAAGTTCCCATTCACTGAATCTGAGCGTGAAAGCACATCGTGAAGATTAAGGTATCTATCGCAACATTATTTCCTATATGGCTCAGGAATTCATTTTTAGAAAATCTTAGTTGACCAAAATCACTGTCTTAGTCAAGGTAGTCTGTTACCTATGCATATATCGAGGACCGGTTGTTTAAATTTCAAAAGTTTCGCAACGGTTTGGCCAGCAAGTTTCAACAAGTCTGTCATCCAATTTTCTTTTGAAATTGTTTTTAAAAAGGGAGACAGTTGTTTAAAAGGATTAGAACTTTTCTTAGATCAAAGAGTCATAAGTCGTTGTGTGAGGACTGGTTTCACACTTATCAGTGAACCAAATTTCTAGGAGAGAAGTATCATTCGTGCCCCTCATTTAAGATCCACTTATTTTTGGGCTGCTTCACTCGATAGAAGCAGAAGTATATCGCCATAATTCATTCACTCAACTCTTTTTGTGCACGTTTAGCGAAAAATGGAAGCGAATTCAAGAAGGTATCCAGAGAGAAGTGCACTGATTTTCTCTCGAAAGCATGTGGTTTATTCCTTTTCTCACGTCAAACGTCTCCCTGGAGAGCGCAGCTTCAGAAAGGCGAATTTTACGATAGTTCTGCTTCACTTGTGTGGGGAAAGCAAACCTCAAACCAAAGAAAATATTGTGTCTTACTTCAGCTTGAGAACCAGCCAAAAATTATTCTTCGCTTTGCCATGAACGTGCAGGTAGACTTGCACCGAACATGAGCCCATACATGAACTATTTTGGGCTTAAGTTTTCTAATTTCAGACATAAATTTCTATTTCAAAATTATCTGTTTAACTTCCTGTCAGCTGAAGTAACCAAAAAGGTTGCCCCCTTCTATAATCCCTCTTTCTGCAAATATGTTTTGCTAAATTGACGAAACTACGATTAAAAAGTCTTACCATGCCGCCACATGCTGTGAACTAAATTTATTAGTTACACAAACCACTGATAATTTTACGAAGAATGTCATTGTTTTTCTATTCGGTTACAGAGTCGTCACGAAACTTAAGAAGTCACCTTTCTATTGTTAGTGATCTATAAAAATAGACTGTTTGCTGGTTCCCGTCGTTGTGGAGCTTAAATACGTATTTTCTGTTGCTAATTTCATTGACGTGTAACTTTGATCGGATTTCGTCTCGGCGCCGTGACGCATATGCTTCCTTCACTCTATCCAACATGACATAAGTTTTAATAAGACTTCTAAGTAACAACACTTTTAGTTAAGAAATAACCTCCTAAATCCATGAAATGACCTTTATTTGGGGAGTAAAAACTTTCAACACGCTTTTGATCTCAAGCTCCTTATTGAGAGAATTATACTTTTTGATGAGTAGGTTAAAAATTAAAATTCGAAAGAGCTCATCTAGCCCAGCCCTAAATTAAACTTTTTTTTCTCAATATAATAACACCCCTTGATTTTTTTGATCACCGTGAGAATATCCTAGAGTTAGTCCTTCATGACTGAAATTATCAGAGGTTCTTTTCTTGCCACTTGCGAGAAAAATTTGTACGACGGCCTCCAAATTTTCATCAGTGGTTAAACTCGTCTCCAAAGCCTACTCGGTTTTAAAAATTGCATCATTTTTCACAGGGACAAGCCCTTTCGGAATGAGGTCGATCTTTGGTCCATAATTAAGCCTGCTTCAGTCAGGGGATTCCCCGGATTTCAAGTGTAGTTTTACCTTTGTTATGAATACCTTTAGAGTATTCGGGGTTGCTTAATTGCGTCAATTACAGTCAAGTGTAAGTTGAACATAAACAGAAACGAACAGTATTTCAAACGTTTATTGGCATATTTGACACAGTAAAGGCAAGACCTAAGTCGCAAACAGCCAAGAATGGGAGGGGCTGATCTGAAAGTTTTAGAAGCTTCTTCATTCATAACCAGTTTATACCTGTAACTTAGATTTTCTTCTCTCTAAAAAAAACTTTGTTTTAAATAGTGGTTTCTTCATCCGAGAGCGCAATAATTCGCTTTGTTTCATCCTAATTCTCCTTCCTGCGTCACCAGACGGAATTTACTTTATCTCCGCGCTAGTTATCTCCGAGCAACGGGAATCGGTTCCCTAGTGAACACAATACCTGCTATTGTATAAGTTATGAAAACGTTTTACAATGATGAACTGATCATTGTGCCATAGTAAGTGAATAAATTATGGCAAACTAATTTTTGAGCTTTGTCGTTTTAGGCCCCGAAATTAATTTTTCCTTTTCTTATATTGTGTTACCCATTATCTGACCATTACCATTTACGAAACATCTCGAGAATGTTTGCATACCTTCAAATAAGCTTAGATAATACACTAATTGCCTAAGTAAGTCTTTGTACATTGACCGCAGGCTGAAGGTTTTGAAATCTGTTTCCGAAAGTGAAAATTACATATATGTGATAGAGTTGATTATTCTTCCAACTCGGGAACTTCGATATTGACGAGATCCCGAAGATCCATCGTACGTGCGGTAACAAGGAAACGTTTCAACAAGGTATGTTATCTGTGACCTGAAAAGTCAAATCCATCAAATGAAGTACTGATGTCTTTGAGGGAAATTTTCCTTATCGGGTAGTCATGATTTACCTCAAACTATCGTCACAATTTCCTCTTTTCCAGAGTGATACAATATGAAATTGTGGCATGAAAACTTGATTCAAAAACCGAGTTTTCCGCTGATCAAGTTGACAGATGCCATAAGCGCCTAACAGACTCCAGTCATGACATGTGAAAAGTATACCTCCATCTGGCGAATAAACAGTGCGAGTTTCTTCGAAATGTAAATCAATGCGGCTAAATCTATAAATTCTCACGACCAAACACAGCATAGCTCAAAAAGTTTATGTTTATATTACTCCGAGAACCAGACTGAACCGGCCACTATATTCTTAGCAGGGGTATCCAATTGTGATTTAATTGGTTTCTTTTTGTTTAAAATGCTGTACGAAAACTTTAGCTGAGTTAGCTAGCTAGCTTGAGTATTTATATATATGGCGAGACCTTGGAAACCGAAACTGAAAATCTTGGGAGATTGTTGATTGTATCAAACACATCTACAAGCTAAAAGTACAAACATTCGAAGTACAAAAATTCAAAGTACGCACTCTCATATCATAAAAGTGAAGTATCATTTATCGTTTTCATTGAAACTTGTAATCATAGTAAGTTCTTGCAGAACTATTTTAATCACAATACGTAAATGGTTAATTAGGTCAATGAAGAACTTTGAGCAACAGCCTTGGAATGTAACAGAAAGATTGTTTGTCCGGGCCATTTCACGAAGCGTTACGTAAAGGCTAATTTCCTCTTTCCTTTCTGAGAACAGTGGACTGCATGAAACGGATGTGGCACACAACTGCATGTGAAGTTTTTTATTAAGGTAATAAACTTACCTGAAAGGCAATTTGGAATAGGTAAGCTTTAGTTAATTTTTCAAAGATGAATAAAGTACGCGATCCTCGAAAAGAATTAACGGGTCATAGCGGGAAAACGTAATTGTGATGTGGACTCCAGTTTGTCGTAAAGTCTTTCAGCTTTTTGATTCCCGGCCATTCGTCAATTGCCAGATAGTAAGCACTTAGCCACCTGTGTACTCCTTGGTCTTGAATCAGGGGACTGAGGGAGAAAAAAGGAGAAAACAGAGGAAAGAAAGATGGAGAGAAAAGAGGTGTTTCTCTCTCAAGTCCGTTCAACTAAAACTTCTTTCACATACTTGAAGGCCAGCTGCCCGTGCTAAGCGGAGAGCCTGGTACAGAACGGACAGTATAATATGCTTGATTCCGATCCACTTCCTTGTTTCGTCAGCGAGGAATACATGCTAACCAAATGTCTCACTAAGAACAATGTGATGTGATCTGTAGCTATAGTTGTTCGTTATGAAAGGTGAGTGAGCGATATCTTGTATGGGTGATATACACATAGCATTACTCTGTTCAAAACTTCTTCATGCTGATACATATTTTGGTTCTGTTATCAAATCGATATCAATATGGAAGTCTGGAGTCCGGCTGACAACATGTTTCAAAACTGTTGTTTAAATCAGTTATTTTTGCTTTTGAGTGAAAAGAGATCGTCCGTTTGCTCAATATCTTTCCAAAAACGAATGACTGTTTATAGCCTATGAAAGAATTCATCTTGTACACAGCCATGCGATTATCTCTCTCTTCATCAACAATTTTTCAATAGACATAGCAGATATAACTCCAACTTTGTATATATATGGCTCATGCACAGACAGTTTCTGCCTTTTTGTTTTATTTCTTTGAAGATTCAACGTCTCTCTACCTTGATAAAGCAAAAAAAGCTTACAGAGCACGCGCCACGCGAAATCCTGAGCGGAAAAAAGAGGCACGCGTGTGTGTATATGCTTGTCCTTACGACGGTCAAATTAAACGTGTACAATAAGAAGTTTCTTTAATAGGCCTAAATTGCTCAGTCCTTGGGTATGCATAGTTATTTTTAACAGCCAAATATCTGCTAGACATAGATTCCAATTTTAGAAAGCATCTCCTGGAGAGAGTGCATTCGTAAATTGTCTCGGATTTACTGTTTCAATTACAGTCAGCTCCCGAAGACTCGAACCCTCCTTAACTCGACATCGCACGAACTCGAACCAAAATTGATCATGATTTCCCCTTGATGTCCGTCATACATTTACTGCAATTTTACCCTCGATAACTCAAATCTCCTGCTAGCCCTACAAGTAATTCTTTTTACATTCTTACCCTCAATGACTCGAATCGCATTAAACCACGTCCGCCAATACGTGACAAATTAAAACAAACGTTGTACTGCAGTCCAAACCCATTAATTTACTTTGAAGCAGAAATTTAATGTTTGCTTCGATGAAAATGTGTAGTGTAGGAACAGAAAAACAATAAACGCCGTTTTTCCGCTATTTGCGACCCTTTGTTCTCAACTATCGAGTCTTTTTCCCTTGAAGGTTCAAGTTATCGGGCGTCGACTATATTTAATTTCTCCTGGGAAAATAACTAGTATGCGATGCTCGACCCAGTTTACAGATTTACGCGGTAAGGGATCACGAAACGAATGTTACCATGAAAATGTACGGATTCTATTTGTTTTAAAAACTTAGTTCGCTCGGAATGCTTTCTACTCGTTTACCTCTAGACAGACATACGAGAGGTTACGTAAAAGAAAGCTGGCACTATCGATCTGTCTAATATTTCGAGACCTCTGTGGTTGTTCGGAGGTTTATCGCAAGTTTTCGGAGAAATAATGACTTCGAAGTAGACTGGTTTTTCTCAAAGTTTGTCTTCTGTAGAACTTTATTTCTTGATAAAAGAGATCACAAAACATGAGCGAAAAGGAATCCTACAAAATTTTAATGAAAGCTAATACAATCGAGAAAAAGATCTTCCGCTCTGTAGAAACATCCGCGGGGCTTCCCCGCTGTAATATGAATTTCTAATTAATCGTGACGTCAACATGAACCCAGCCTAGAATTGCATCATCTTCGATGAAGAATACAGAGGCGGACATAAAAATGGCAGAAGAACAGTCAAAGACTATCATCACATCTCTGAACCCTTATGGATAATTAAGCGTTGTCAAGGTATCGAAGCTGTTGTAAGCCATCGCTGTCGTCAAATGGGTGACTTGAAGGTGCCGATTACGTGGAGATGTCTAACACCTGTACCCCGCGAGCCAAAGCCATCGGCCAATCATTCTGTTTTTGCGGTGCCCAAATGCATATTTATTAACATTTGTAGCCTGACTAAAACCAAGAACAAAGTTAGAGCCGTTGTTGCACTCGAGGCTGATATGTGACAGAATGATATAGCTGTGTGTGTGGTAATGGAAAAGCACCTCAAACCAGCACAACCGGACGCCAAAGTAAACATCGCAAATTGTTCTATCTTTAATGATTATCGCTCAACCTTGTATGAAGCTATATGCATAAACTTGCGTCTCCCAACGGGACACCAGTTTTTAGTGTGCGGAACGTATCACCTACCTAAACGCAAATACGCGGAAGTAGATTCAATGAGCCATATAACCAACATTGTTGATATAAATTGGATGAACACCCGCAAACTGTTGTTGTATGCGGCGGCGATTTGAATAAACTGAACATCGATCGATTAGAAGAATTGACAGACTGGAATCGGTGATGCTGGGTTTTCCGACAAGAGGCCTCTCACGCTTAGATAATTGTCTCTCAAATCGCACGGACCTTTTCGGGAAATGCTACCCTTACCAAATGCTGACAAAAACCGATCACTGTGGTTTGAGTTTATCAGCCGGCAAAAAGCTTCATCCCAGCCGACACTAAGTTCAGGTGCGAGATCTGAGAGAGTATAGAAAGCGTGATTTATTCTCAGCATTGGCAAAGGAAGACTAGATAACTTGCTAAATTCAAAATCTTTTTTTCCCGAAATGTTGTTTCCAATCTAATATTACCATTCATAATTATTGTAACTCGCGATGTAACGGTAAAATCCGACGGTCTCATTTCGTTAAGATTTCTGGAAAGCTCCCGGAAAGTTACCTTAGTTAAGGTAGCTGCTGAAGGTAAAATAGATTCGTTTCGATTCTGAGAAAATGAAACAACAATATCCTGTGTGTAACAAAATTCCGAATGCAACTTTTTTCAGTCAGCCAAAACGAGCGTTTATTGTTCTCTTTTCACATCTGATCGTTGGCAATCGTAGTGTTTCGTAGTGTCACCTCCATCAATGCAACGATGCTGGATAAAAACGGATCGGAGTAAAGCAGTTTATTTAAATCTCATTCGCGTGCTGAAGGTGACGTAGCTGTGTGTTCGTTCTTTTTATTTTACAGTCGTATTGTTTACATATGCTACATGTTATAGCAATACTTTGTGTAAAAGAGTTCACGTGTCCTGCTCGGGGGAACAATCGTGTGTTGAAGTTCGGAATAAAAAGTTGGTCTTTTGTTACACAGAACTGGGGTTTACTTCAGGAGGTGAAATCGATTAAAAAAACCTCGATTTAATTGCTTATGAACTCACTTCGTCAGATTGCTGCGAAAGCTTCCGAAAAGCCGCTGACTTTATTCAGCTACTTTCGAACTTTCGTAGCTTGTTTACCTAGTTATTTATTCACTTTAATTCCACCTCTACTCTGGCGCTGTAACTATGAGAACAAGCAGCGGAGCTTCACTGAAAACTCTCGTAGAACAGTCACTCGTTTTCAACTCTCTGTCGCGCAACCCGTCAAAGTGCACGATGCCATCGGATAGTCAGTTTACTACAATTACAAATGCCTCTCTGTTGAATAGAAATCACAGCATTTGGCTGGATGCCTGGGAAATGTCAACAACTTAAGAGTACTGTAGGTTACTATTTTTAGTACATCACGGGATAAATTTCAACTTTAGGCGCGAAAATCGTCACCTCGTTTTAATACATTGGAGGTTTGGCGCCAACACGTTGTACAATGGCCACTTCTACCCTGATGATTCTTCTATGGTAGATATCAATGATGACTTTTAAATTAAGCTCTGTATTTGTAAAATTTGTAGCGTTGATACTTCACAAAGCACATCTTAAAATACATGCTTACATGTATAGGAGTGTGACGCATTTGGCGCCAATTTACCCTTGAGTTTAGAATGGAATATGTGCTGTTGACATGTTAACAAACTTTGTATGTGCGATCTTTCTTAATTAGTGAGATGTAACTGCTCTGGGCCAGAAGCTGCTGATATGTTCTGAGAAAACGGACGAACGAGGTAATAACCGTTTGGAATTTATAACAGACGTTAGCTATAGTGTTAATTTTTTTCTGACTCGTAATTCTGCTTATGTTTCCGTGATTGAAACATGTTATGAGAAGATTCACTTAAGTGTTTCACAAGCGAGTGATCGTCTTCAATTTTATGTCCGCTTGTGAACCTTGCGGTGTGGTGACTAAATTTTCAATTCATACTCTGTCGAAAGATCAACAAGTTCACATAATCATATACTATATTGCGACGTGTAGACTGAATTATAAAATGATCGATTTGCATAATAACTGTTCACGATCCACTTCCCATTGATAGGCCTCAGTGACTTGATTAATTATAAACATCATCAGTAAATCGCTTAATGGCGTCCGATCCAAATAGGAGTCACAGAGCTAGTCTACTTAAATTGTATAGTATTCTGTAAAGGGTTCTCTTTCCTTCTCAAATAAGAGCATCTTGAAGCTTTTCGCTCGGTTTCTGTTGTTTGTAGGCTATATCCTATCAACTGATCCAAATGTAAACAAATTCAGGATAGTTGGAAGACATGGGGTGACGTTATGAACATAAGGATAATAGTGTTGCCCCAGACAGCTATATCCATTTCGCTTCCATGACCAACGCACTCTCTACCAACGTCACGTAACAACCTATCCATTTTACTTCCATAACTGACGGGCTCGCGACCAACATCACGTAACAACCGAGCAGTGGGGGTCTAATCATGGACGGGATCGGACGAAAAAACTTATCCTTGTGTTTGTTCGCCAAATACGATTTCAGTCAACTTTAACTCTTTATTAACACCTATCGTTTTCCTGGCGGCTTCAACAGAAAAGTATTTCTCCTTCAGGCCTTCACTTTTTTCTTTCTTTTTTCATTTAACGGGGGGGGGGGGGGGGAAACTTGACAAAAATTCACGCGAAATTTAATGTAAATTTGTGGAAGGGGCGTTTAGGACTTGTCAATATTCATCACGAAGGGGGAGGGGAGGGGTTGGTTGGTTGATTGACAAGCAATTTTCTTAAGTCCCCCTTTATACACTGTTTTTAACGACTAATTCCCCAACGACTAGTCCCTTAATACATAGAAAGGAAAAAACATAGAGGACTCTTTCAAGGGTCGGTTAACTTTATGTTTTCTTTTTTGTCCACCTGTTTTAAATAAGAATAAATGTTATATTATGGGGGAGCAAAGTGATTTGTAGATAAACTTTACAACCATCAATATCACCATAACCGTCATTTAAGCCAAAGGAACTTTCTTCAAATAAACCAGCTGTTTTCTTTATCCTAGAAACAAGGAAAATGGATCCTCCAGACAGAACTGAATTCCTCAGATTAACGGTTAGCTATCTGCAACAGGGGGACTTAGTTCAAGGGAAAGAGTCATTACAAAAAACTCACCAGTATTTCCAAGACTTGTTGCCAAGTGAGTTATCCAAACCCACTTTACAGGAGATAGAGATAGTAAACAAGGCAGAGAAAATATCGATAGAGAATGTGGCGTGGAGTCTTCGAAATGGAGTAATTTTGTTGCCCCAGACGTTCGTTAAGAACAACTTCTTTGTCTGCTTTGCCAATGTAGTTGGTGCTGTTGCTTTAATCACGATTTGCGTTGATATAGCTGAGAAAGTATTTGAGCAGTTAAAAGTGTACATTGAGAATGATAAAGACGAAGAATCAATTATTAGCCTTGGAGTTGCCCTTAACAACTTAGGTTGCGTGTATATTATCAAAGGAAGTTTTCAAAACGCAAAAGTTAGTCTTCAAAGAGCTCTTGCGATATTTAGAGTACTCAAAACAGGAAAAGAGTGTGTCACTTTCGAGGAGAAAATATTAACAATAGCAAACAACTTACGACTAGTGCGTCAGGCTCAAAGAAGTTATGTAACTGACATGCAATTACAAAACGATTTCCTTTCTAATGTAAACCGCTTTGCCATACAACCAAGAATCACTGCAGTTGTTGATTACAATGAGGCCGTAACCTCTTTGGAGAGCAGAAATCTTAGAAAAGCTTTGGACGAGCTCGAGAACTTAAAAGCATTTTGTGAAACAAAATTACACCTAAACAAGGGTTTGTTAACCTTCATTTTGTTAAAAATCCGTTTACTTTGTTTGATGCTTCAAGCTTCTAGTGGGACCACGACATTTATTGATTCTAAGATTTCGACCTTGCAAGGGCTGAAGGAACTTGTTGATGTTAGTACAAACTTTTCGTTAGACTTCTCAGTCACAACTGTGGAGACTGTGGCCGACATTCACCTTTATCAAGGTAATCTTGACCTTGTCAGTAGCTATTTCTCCTATCTTGTACCGGTTGTTCGTGAAAGATGTGGTGCAGATCACCCAACAGTTGCTTCTTTTCTGTCAAAGCAAGGACTTGTCTTCCTCCATTTGGAAAACTTCGCTCGTTCGAGGCAATGTTTTACCGATGCATTAGAGATTTTCACCGGAGCTTTTGGTGCTATTCACCCCGATGTTCTCAAATGCAATGCAGGTCTTGCGAGGCTAGAATGGCTCGGTGGACATGAAGAAAAATCCTTAACGCACAGTCAGACAGTTCTGGAAAATGTGGAAAGGATTTGCCAAGTTTCACTTGAGTGCCAATTGAAGCCAAAATTCATTGAATTGTCTTCACAAAGCGAAAGAACACCATCTCCTGATGTCGATCATGAAGAACAACTAAAACTTGAAACTCTGGTTTCTGAGTTTGGCATAGATATAACCAGGGTTCTCAACCAGCATCAACCGAGTGATCTTGGGGATCGTCCAGGAGCACTCTCAGAAAGTGATGATTTTGTGGATTCCTCCATCTCCAAGGACTTCTATGCAAAGCTGAGCTTTAACTGGTTGAAAGCTGGTCTTTGTTTGTTTAACGTTGGAGTGGATCAAAGTGTCGCTTTTCTCTTTCTCTCGTTTACATATGCAAGTATGTTTTATGATCATTTGGATTGTTCTGAAGTCATTTTACTGAAAGTGATTTTCCTTGTGTGTCATCTAAAATCTAAGAAGTGTCAAACTTTTCTGAAAATTCAAGAGAGATTAAGAAAAGAGTTCGGACGGTTGAAGAGCTTCATTGAGGACAAAGCGAAGAGATTTGATGAACCGGAGAGCAAAATTATATTTTTTGACGAAAATACAAACTTGATGGTTGCTCTGGCCGTAATCCTTCGGACGTTTGTAGAAATGGAAATGTACGAGATGATAGCTGATGTGCATAGTCTATTGTCTTTCCTGTCAAACCAACAGTCACCTCAGGTAACTCATGTATTTCTCGTTGAAGAGCTTCGGTTTGCGTTTTTTAGTTCAAACATACAATGTCTTGGCAAAGAAGTTATGCATGACCTGATTTTGTTGACGCCTCTTGGGGTGATGAACAATCGAAAAGTCACTGACGTAAACGATGCAGATACTCCCTGTTACTCTCAAAGCAAGGAGCTTACAACAACTTTACGTGAAGATGAAAACTTTGGAGAAAGGAAATCGAGGCAAATTTTCAAAGCTTTGGCACTCAAAACTGATAGTAATCAGTGGAAAGGATCTCGCAGATTTCTTGTGGAGTGTCCAATATCTCGTGGAGTTGATATTTCAGCACTAAATGAAATAAATGCGTGGAGTATAAATGCAGTAGAAGACAGTCTGCCTCACTTGATCTTATGCAGCCCTCAGAGCATAGAATTGACAGCACAGTACTTCCTAGAATTGGAACTCTTAGCCTCTGCGGAAAGCACTCTTTCTTCGATTTCTGGTGATTTTTCCCTTTTGCCACTCGTACTATCGGCAGCTAAGGATGGTTCAGGATCTGAAACGCAAACTCCGGTTCTCGTCAACACAGAAAACACTCATGAAGGAAGCCTATCATTTATCTTCCAAGACAAAATAATCGCGAATTTTCTATTCGGAAAGCTTTTAAAGCAAATTTTAACTAATGAAGGCGAGCTTGGTGAGGTTGTGAACGTGGTAGTCAAAGACAGCCAGCTCGTGTTGAACATCCAAGGCCCACTCATAAGGCAAATAGTAATTCGGTGCCATGAAGACACCATCAAAGTGAAAACCCACTTGATTCACTATTCTCAAAGCCGTAGAAAAGTTGAGATTGTCCGAGAAGAAGTTCCACCATGCAATTGTTCTCCTATTGAGACGGTGATCGCTGACAAAATGGAAAAATGTGCTCGTAATTTTGGCATTCATTTCGAGACAAAAAGTGATGATGCCTGGTGTACTGCGTCACAACTGACTGGAAACGCTAGGGACATTTCAATGAGAGTAAGTGTTTTGAATGCAGCATTCATCACTGTAGGCATGAAACTTGTTTTTCAACCATGATGACGAATCCTTGTTATGCAACGATTCATCTCTTAAATGTAAAATCCAGCTTACCAATATAACAAAGTAAAAAATATGACAAAGTCAGAGTGAGAATGTTTTTTTTTCTGCTAACCTCATTGATTTATGTATTAAATTTAAGAATCTAAAATTTGGTTGTCTTTCAATTAAGAACAGCTTCTTTTTGCCTCATACCTCATAGCAGGATTAGAGGTTAATTTTTGGCTATTGTTATAGTTTTTGACTCGTTCTGTTTTTAGGAGCACCAGCCGCTAGAAATGCAGCTTAAAGCAGAACGTCCAAGCCCTATTTCTTCTCTTCCAACCTTACCTTCCAGACAGTCGTTCCTGTCGGAATCATCGACACAAACAGATTCCTTGAGTATTCCCTCAACATCTGATCTTAGTACTCAAACAGAGGTCAGTGACTCTTATGACTCTGAAAATCTAGTGGAGCCCACATCATCATCCAGTAAAGTAAGTTTATCACCATCATTACCTCCATCGTCATCGTCATCATTATCTTCGTCATCATCACCTTCATCATCATCATCATCATCATCATCATCTTCATCATCATCATCATCCTCCGGTGAAGAAGGTACTGATGAGGTCTCCAGAAGGTCAAGGTCAGAGCCAGAAGAGAAAGTTAAATCCTTGGTGTATTCCGTCTATTCGTGTGGTTTAGAATTGGAGAAACGCGGAAGAGAAGTTCCAAATCTTGCAAATTCAGAGTTCAACTATAGTAGCAACGATGTAGAGGAAGGACAGACAAATCAACCACCACTCGTTCTGCCATTAACTTTGAGGGTTCAGACGGATGGAAAATTACGCAAGAGTAAAGAAAACCTTGAGAAGTGTATTCAAACCGATGATTGGCTAGGGAATTCTATGGATGATGAAGTTGATGGTGCAATGAAAAATGTTTCGTGTGAAAGTTCTGCAATCCAACATTGTCTTCCCTGTTATTCCTCCATGGGATCTACTGAACCACCTTTTCAAAGGGAAGGCGGTGTGACTGACAACCTTCCACGAATTACAGACCAGGTAGAACGTCATGGTGGTGCCGCTGCCTCAACCAGTTCGTGCAATGATGCCACGGATGAAAACCGAAGGAATAGGGAATGTAAAGTCGATTCGAAGTCACTGAAAGTTTCTCAAGAGATGAAAAACAAGAATCAAGAGTATCTATCTGGAAGAAGTCACAACACAAGGCCTGGGGAATTTACAGGCTTAAAGGGTGGAGGAAAAGTTCCATTTTTCTCTAACAGGGGCCGAAGTTACGAGAATCGCGAATCGGTTACTTACTGGAACGACAAGGACGCAAAGCCTGAGAAGGTTAGACCACAAGATGATATGCGAAACACCATAGATAAAAAAGAATCAAACTTCTTTGGTATAAGGCCTTGCTTCCTTGCTCGTCACTCAGATGACAGTTGCATTACCACTCCTATCGATGACATGGGGAATACGAGGGAAAACGCCATTGGAGGGTCTTCCAACACCTTGTCAGGGAATCAAGGGTCACCTTGTTTAACTAATGAGCAAGACTATCGAGCTACGTACTCCTTTCAAGCCCCATCGTTTCAGTCTGAAAGTTCAAATGTATCTGCTCACGCACAAGGTCCAAACCCTTACGGCTCCTTCGATCCTAACCCTGCGGTCGGCTGGGATCTACAAGTGCCTGTTCGTCCTCTACTCTCTCTTCCCTGCAACGGATCGGAGCATCTCAAAACGCTTTCCTGCGATGAACGGCGAATTGTAGTGATATCTCCGCATGCTTTAATGAATGGTTACACGCCGTTGGCGCAAACACCCCTTCTACCAGAACAAAGAAAAGTCGAGGATCAACGTTCTGATCCTGAAGTAAAACAGGAGAGAAAGTATGATTTTAAATTAATGAATGGAAATCCTGCAAGTTTATCTAATACCACTTCAATTACACAAGGCCTTGTCTCCCCTGAAATGGAAATCTCCACTCTACCACGAGCAGCCACTAACAGAAATCTGACATGGGAAACAAGAATACTTGCAGATCAGGACACTGCTTGCCAAGGGCCACCGTCTCTCTCAAATTGTGATTCGTTAGCTGACCTAGAGCTACAAGTGGCCGAAACTTGTTCCTTTGTCGAAAAAACCTTGAAAAAAAGACAAGTAAAGAAAAAGGCAATGAAGGAAAAAGAGCGAAGGAAAAAAGAAGAGCGGGCCAGGAAAGAACAACAAGCACGTGAAGGAAGAGAAAGGGAGGCAAGTGAAACAAGACAAACGGAATGTAGGAATGACAGAGAGGAAGTCAGTAACCCGAAGAGCGGTGGAAGGGAAACACCTACGCAAACATCAGCTGGTGCTGAGGGTCGACAATGGCTCTGTGAACATTATAAGCGGCTCTGCCGTGTCAAGTTCCCATGCTGTGGAAAGTTCTTTCCCTGTCATCGTTGTCATAACAACTCTGGGTGTTCAAATGATAATTCCAAAGCAAGAGAGGCGTGTTATGTTGAGTGCTCGGTTTGTAACCATCAACAAGAGGTATTTAGACATATCATTTATTTGAAATTTCATAAGTGTGGAAATGGACAAGTAACATTTAGACTATATGTGAATTGCTTTTAATGCTTTCTTCTTTTTTAAGATCAACCAGGACGCCCAAACCTGTGCTAGATGTAAAACAAAGCTCTCGGCATATTTCTGCTCTATGTGTAAACACTTCACGGGCACAGACAAAAATCCATATCACTGCACAAAATGTGGTATCTGCCGGTAGGTGAAACGATATTCATGACGAAATTCCTTCTTTTTTGTTTGTTTCATGATATTCCTGCTTTCCCAAAAGTAAGGAAGTAATTGGCCTACTTCGATACCAAGTCTTACCGTATGAATGGAAAGAAAATTCTGGCGCCAGCTTCAGGGCGAGAGCAACGCTAAGTAAGAAAGATAGACGCCTTGATCGATACGAACATGAAATTTACCACTTCCAGTGTTTTCTAATCCGTCTTTGCGAAATCGTAATAAAAAAATTGAGCTCGACTGAATATGAGTTTTTGTTTCCTCATTGGCATCAGGTTTCCTTTCATTAGATCGAATCGAGTAGAAATGTAGGGTTTTTACTTTGCATTAGAAATTTATTTTCTTTACGAGTCATGTTAAGTTTTGCTCGAGTATTTACCTGCGAAGTAATGTTCCTGTTTTCGTTTCAGCATTTTCAAAGACCGCTCCTTCCACTGTGATGTGTGTAACGTCTGTCTGGACAAACGGCTAGAAGGAAGACATTCTTGTCGAGAAAATTCAGGACATGATGAGTGCTGCATCTGTTTGGAGGTAATGACCTACTCTTCGTACTAAATGTTGCTGCAAGGGGATTTCTCTGTCTTGTTCGTTTCACATCTTTTCTCGTTTGTCGCGTCTACTTGTTAAATGACTGTCAGTGTCTGTGGATTTTGTCATCGGTTGTACTGTATGATTAACATTTTGTGTTCTCATGTCGTTGTGAAGTATCACGTTATTTGTTGTTTATGCCCGATTAGTATGAAGCAACTGCACACTTTTCACTGCCGTTAAATATGGATTCCAATAAGGTAAATGTCTCTTCGTGTCATGGAACGTTTTCCTTTTTGCTAGTGTAAGAGTATAGATTTCAAAAAAATTGTCTAAAGACACGGCACACAAAATCGGCTCTACAAGAGGAAATATTGGCCAACAGCTTTTTTCCTTCTGCTGTAATTATAGCCTTATTATCGACAATGAAGGTGAAATCTGGTAAATGCAATGTTTGAGCGACAAATCTAGCAACATACTAAGAGAGCATTTTATTTTTTCTCAGCAATGTTCTTAAGACAAAAGAAAGCGTTTTAATAGAATTGTTCAAAAAAGAAATGATTGTAAAAGTTAAATTGATGGATAATACCTGCAAATACGTTTACTTAATGAACGTTTGGAACATTTATTTGAAGGACGCATTCAGCGGTTGTCAAATCTTGCCATGCTCACACAAGGTTCATAGAGAGTGTGCCATTGCAATGATTCAGAATGGCGTGTAAGTATGCTTACAAAGTCATGATTTGTTATGAATTAACTAACATAACGAAGAGAGCGTTAGTGCTCTCTTCCATTTGACGGTATCTTGTTAAAATTCTGAATCGGATTTGTAGGTGGAGTTGTGGCAGAGGCTGAAGGGGGCTGTTGCCTGCCTCTGTTCATCTCTCGACTTCTAGCTGCGTGAACTGGAGCGTCAAAATCAAGCATTGTTTTTAGCGTCTTCTTTCCTTTCAAGGAACTTGTCTTTGTTTCAACTGAATCTTTCATTGATTTGTGATGTTAGCTTCTGACTGGCTGTTGTGAGTAGCTGGGTTTTGGTCTAACGACACTCGAGAGAAAAGCTCTCTTTGCATGCAGCCTTGGAACAGTTCTGAATCCACAGCAATGCTGGGTCGATTGGGAGTTTTGCAGTCTCTTATAGTTTTACCCGTGATTTTACGGTGATATCGACTTGAATGTTCTCGCGTTTAATTCAAACAAGTTTAAGTTCCATTCGCCCGAAATATTTCCTTTACATTTGCAGTCGTAGCTGCCCAATTTGTCGTCATCCTCTATACAGTTAGACGAATGGCAACGAGTGAATGACAACGTCCATCCCAGGCCCTTCTCTTCTCGCCTCGTTGATGAAATAGAGAGGACTCTGTGAATGGAGTTGAAAGGATGTTTTTTTTTAATTTCTTCTAGATAATTTTTAGGTGTTCAGAGTTTGTTGACCTTTTAGCATAAATTCTATAACAGCTTTAGTACTTAAATTCAATGGAGTTGTCTGATTGTCCTGGTAAGAAGGCACTACCTACTCAGAACTTCTCACGCCCAGACGATCAGACTACACAATCGTATCTTGCCCCAAGTTTAAAATATATATTGTACTATCTTTTTTAGTTTCATTGATCGGTACGTTTTTACATAAGTGTGACATTTAGAATTCGAACAAATGTATTAGGTTTAGGTGTGTGAAGTGCAGGTGATATGTAGGTCTCCAGAATCAAACTATCAAAACGTTATCGCTACTTGTAAAATATTGAGTTTTTTCACCGACAACCCAGAATTTAGAGAGGCAAGTTAAATAAGTCGTCGATGCTGATCTCAAATTTCGCGTATAGAAAGCCTGGCTTAAGATTTCCTTAGGTATATGTATCCAGGATATTGAGTTGCTTCGGTAATGAAAGATACTCTGGCGAAAAAAAAAAGCAAACAAACAAGAACAAAACAGAACTAATATCGTCGATTATTCTAAACGTATTACTATACAACACTGCATAAATTCTAAAATGACTCGATTTATCCCAAGGGGCTCTTTCCTCGCAAATTTTGGCAACTTCGCGGGTCATATTCTGAGATCTTAATCTAAGGAGTAGTATAGCGGGCATTCGCTCAAAACCCAGCCCGTTCTGTTTCGTTTTCATAAATTTTTTATAGTTTGAATTTCAAAGCTATTGATATCTGAGAAACGGCATTTTCGGACCAATGACTACCGGAACTTTCAGTAAATGGGCTCCTGAGCAATCAAAAAGACTAAATTTGTAAACTAGAACGTAAAATTTTGCATTCAAAATTGAACAACTTCGCGTCTATGAGAAACGATGAGAAATTCAGCGTGAGTTCATCGCTTATTTTGGGTTGGTTGCTGAATTGAATCATTCTATATGGCACAAAATTGAGTAACAAATGATCCTATAAGTTAGCTTTATGAAGAATACCGCATGCTTTTAGTTAGTTCCTTGTTCATAATTTTTTTTTAAAAAGCTGTAATCTCAAATAAATTTACGAGTTCCACCGTATTCTTGAATTGAACCTTTTAGTCACGTGGTCGTCGTAAAATAGAAATAGTATTGTGGGCATGAAGCCATGCTTGTAAAGGGGTACCATAAACTCCTCAAAATTTATATCGAAATCATCCGAAGCTCCAAACTGGCTCTGAGAGTTAAGAAATAGAAATTGAGAAGCTCATGAGATAAATCTTCGGTTCAGGCCACGCTCAGACGCTCTATCACTTGGCTTACAGTCAGCTTAGTCAGGCTGTTACTGAGCTTATATGTGACACACATCCCGCAGTCTGCTAGGAGCAACAGTGTCGAAAGCTTCGTGTGATTTAATATTGTAAGAAAGATGTTGGGTCCAATTTTGTTTCTTCGTCCACTCTCGTAACACTGGAGGCGAAAAACATCTTTCCTCATTTTACTACCCAGCTGAAGATTCATCGACATTGTTGATCCTAGCAGTATAAAGTAGTGACTTAGCTCACCTTGGAGTCTCTGTGGCTCAGTTGCAGAGCATCAGGGCGCGAAGGTCTCAGTTTCGACTCTTCATGACTTGGCGTTTTTCTTTGCCCCATGCTTGTGATCGAATCAGAGAAAGAAAACTTTACTCATGTACTTATCCAAAAAAAAAAAATTAATAAACAACAAGAGATTTCCAGATTAGAGGGTGTACAATACTGCAACAACTCATTGAGAGTTATATATTTCTTTATTTTCTGATGTCAATATAATTTTTTTGGGGAAACTTTTTCTGGTTGCTTAAACCGTGCAAACAAAGAAATTGCGGTGCATTGCTGAAAATGTCAGGCTTGTTGGTTTATGTTGGGGTGAAAATCATGCGATTTTAGATGTTTATTATTTGTGGTGACTGGCCTGTTATAAAACCGTAACCATTACGCTATTATCTCCGTAAGTAAATATGTTAGTAAATAAGCAAGCAAATAAGCACGTAAGTAAGTTAAAAAGTAAGAAAGTAAGTAAAAAGAAAGTGTGCGACTTTTCGAAAACTTTTGAAGCAATCTAAAGAGTGAGACCGAAAACTCCTCGGGAATTACTAATACCGCGTAGTCTCGCTGAATTCGAAAGTTGTCTCGCTAAATTCGAATTCTTCGCTGGTGGTGCAAAGCGGAGGGCTAAAGGCGACGTAAGGATGAGAAATAGGTTATTACTGTAAAGTCGATGAGAATTACTTCGGTAACCATTTCTGAAAACTTTCGATTTCGTTCTTCATTCCCTTCTTTTTTCTTTTTTAACCGTAAGGCCTCGTATCCTTCAATGAAGTGAAAAAACTAGGAAAACAATGGTAACTAAAATTAATATGAAGTCTCCCTGGAAAACACTCGAAAATTAGGCCAAGCACAATACATGTAAAAAAAAAAATCAGTTTAAATAGTTATGAATAACATTTCACGGAAAGAGGGAGTTGGTTTTTCTCAACCGAAAGCATTCGGTCGATATTCCGGGAAAGTTGGCCGTTTTCTTGCGTTATTAAAAGAAGCATAAACTTAAAATTTTTGTCAATTTTTGTAGGTGTTCGACACAAACAAAGGCTTTTTAGATGTTGAGGGCTCTCGTCGAGAACCTGACCACCTTCGCGGGCATCCTTCGGGAAAAAAAATTCCTTTGCGCGCTAGTTCCACTAAAATCCTAGCAAACTATGCATCAAAAGAAAGCTTAATAAATGCAGTTTACGATAAAAATATAATTTAGGCGACTTTTCTTTAAGGAAGTGTCAGGAGCCGGTAAGGCGTGAAACGACCGAAGGTTCTTCAACTGAATTTATCGGGTATCGAATGCCGCAGCACGAGCAATATGGCTGCATAGTCTTATTCTCAAGGCATCAGTCAATAAATAGAGACAACTCATCACGAGCCTCAGGTAAACGGAAGTTCAAATATTCGAGCTGGTTGGTATGGTGTGACGTCATAAACCGGCTACGTTCCATCATCGCCTTGACAGCTTGTATTGATAATTGCTTACAGTTCCTTTGCAAAGACTGTGACAACGAATACATCGGACAGACCAAACGTCAGTTTGGGATACGTTTGAAAGAGCATCAAGAAGCGGTTTTCTTTTTCAAAAAAGAAAATCCAGGTTTATCGGAGTACACATGCCTAACTAACCACACAATTGAATGGGATAAGTCTAAAATTATCACCACTAATCGGCGTTACCACCAGCACCATTGATTGGCATATTAACTCCGCCCACGCTCCTTTAAATCGTGATGATGGCGGCTTACTTCCTGACGCCAATTAACACCTCGTCAGAAAAAAGGCAGCTAATTAGTGATCGTATAAAAGGACCTCTTGTTGCAGCGTTTAGATCACCCCTAATGAAGGCACTAGACAGGAGTGTCGGAACGTTGGGTCTATGAATTGTAACTTCTTCGGTTACATTCATTAAATCTGTAAACCAGAGTAGCATCAAACTATGTCTGCTTACAGTAATCTGAGTAATTGCTTTATTTTGTACAATATCTCTATTCCTGCATGTTTTTTTTAAGGGGCTGGATCGGCCTATTGACATTTCGAGATTGGATTTGATGTTAATACGCTTAGGCAAAAGCGGGAAAGTTTAGTTTCCCACGGTCGAGTGCACTTATGCATCCCTTCGAACTTCGAAGGGTTGAATTGCTGCACTCTCCTTCTACAGATGAGGCAAGGCAATGGTTTATCTTAAGTTTCAAGGTATGTGACTTAAGGGTCAGCAAATTTTTTTCAAGTTGCCCGTTAGTGGCACATTTTCCAAGCGAGTTTTTTACGGTCCAGCTATCGGATTTGAAAAATGGTGGGAGCTTGGATGGCCGATATGTTCAGAACAAAGCAGTGGCCATCGCCTCTCTATTTGGAGTTGTTTCTGCCATCCTCCGGTAGAAATTCAAAGAAGGAGAATTGGCGAAATATCGTTGGTTGATCGATAAAATAAATTCACTTTAAATCAGAACTAAGGCTAGCAGGACTCGACCAAGTGAGGACTTTCGTGAGGAGCTGAAAGATGCTCATGATACCTCCGCAGCTATCGGAATTAAAAATGATCGACTAAAAGCTGAGCTCATCAAGCGCAGAGTCAGCTAGAATCCCTATTAGAAGAAATAAAAAAAATCAGTCAAGTTAGACAAACATCAGAGTTAAACAAAATTAAGGAGAAGGATGAGAAGGTCACCAAGGATGCGTGGACATCGATCAGCGATGTTTGCGACAGATTTCAGGTCCACCTCGCTGATGTAGGCGCAAGTCAGGTCCACAGTCCTGAGGTGGGGCGAATGCTCAGTGACATCGCTTAGAAAATTAGAATTAACAGCAGCAGCCCGCTGCAAGCGTTGGAAACAATGCTGGGATACAGTGGCCCTCAGTTTTTGCAATCTCTCACAGTACCAGACTGGACCCCGCTGTATTTCAAACTGCAGTCGAGGATCCCGGACCAAGCCTGGCAAACGTTACTTAGCATTTGCAAGTTAGGACGAACCGGCGTAAGTCATAACGATTATATTTTTATTAAGATTGGAAAAAGTGTATTTGCTGTCTTATATTTTGTTGTGATTATTAATTTTAATTAATTAATTAATTTTGAGCAAGTCACCTCATGCCTAGAAGACAAGGAAAACTAGTGAGTTGCAACAATTTTTAAGAAATTTTACAATGTCACATTTTTTTGCTCTATAGGGAAAATGTGGAGGCCCTAATAAAAGATATAAATCGCCAGAAGGATGCCATCAAGAAAACTGGAATAGTGGTTGATGGAAGATGCTTTAAAGTTAAATTTACAGGTTATTTATGTCTTCCAATCTTGACTCTTTATATTTTTTTACCTTATTATTATTATTTTTTTGCAATGTTTTTATGTTACATGTCTAGCCATGTTATAGTATTATTGAATCTATTTTATGCTTGGCAGTGTTAAAAAATGTCTAGGAAAGTGGTGTTTAATATAAAGTCTACCATTTGAGATCTGTGGTATAGCTATTTAAACTTGAACTTGATATTATCTTCTTGTCTTTTTTGTGACAGTTACTCTTGATTACAAAGCATTGATAATGCTACGCAAGCGAAAAGGTTGTGGTGCCGACAAATATATCGATAACCTTTGCAACCGACGATTGGACACAGAGCGCTGTGTATTCTGCAAAGTTATTAGAGTAGGTTATACCTGAAATTGCTAAATGACATGCATCATAGCAGAATTCTACAATAACACAAAACATATTCAGGTGATAGGTATTTGTGATGAGTTTTTCTACAGTGAGTGGGAGCTTTCTTTGTGTTGACTTTATGGAAAGGCAGAAATTTGTCCATAAAAATGAACATATTTTATCTTTGGTGAACAGTGATTAGATATAATTTATATTATAAATTTCCTCCTTAAAGTTTTATCTATAATTTAGTCTCTTCGCAAAATTCATCGACCAGTATAGTTTCGTTGCCTTCGTCTGGAGGGAATTCGTTTTGACTTGTTCCCCTTAAACTATTTTGTTTTCTGAGAAATAAGGCTTGAAAGCTTTGACGGTATGGCCGCATTCTCCAGGCATACAACAACGGGTTTAGGGCAGAGTTACTGTACAGAATCGGGATGGACAGTCGATAACCTGCAATGCACCATTTTTGATGAACACACTCTTTGCAGTAACGCCGGATGGTGGTGAATAACCAAAACGGAACGAGAGAAACGAAGAAGACAAGAATTATCAGACAGGCAGTCGTCATCAGTTGCTTCTGCATCTCAGCCGATCGCCTGGATATTTTTTCTTTTTTGTAGAGTCTTCCATGTCGATATTGCACTATAAAATAAGCAGCCGAGTATGTGAAAATAATCGTGAGAAGTGGTAGGACAAAAATGAGGTAAAGAAACACAACATCGTACAAATCTCGCTCCACTACCAGCTCCAGACAGCTTGTAACAATGGCTAATATCCAACACAGCACACAACAGAGGATGGTTTTTGGGATGGTCAGGGAGTTACGATAAACGTACGGGAAGGCAATAGCTATGAACCGTTCAACCGCAAAAATGATCATGATACAAACACTCGCGCGCACGGTTATCTGCGAAACGATCTTGGCCTGAAGCATAACTTTTCCCACTTCCATTCCTTCCAGAATATGTGCTATTCCAACGTCCACGGCGGTTACACATCCCGTTAGAAAGTCTGTTATGCCCAGAGAGACCACAAGAACTGCGGTGGCGTTGCGAAATTTCCTCAGCGGGTCTTTGTAGATCATGAACAGGAGGATGCCATTGGAGATCGATATCAACAACGCGAAAAAGAGTAGTATGCCTCCGTTGATAATAAAGACATGGGACTTGAAGTCTTCATTGCCTTGATTAAGGCTGGCAGTCATCCTTACCAAAGTAGCGGACGAAAAGCTAGAGGACCTTTCTATTCAGCGACAAGCGACAACTGACGTTAAATGCGGAAATTCAATGTATACTAATTGCTTGTGGTTTTCATGAGCCGTTTCGTTCGTTCAAATGGAATTCAAAAGTTGCTATCAGTTTCAAATATCAAATTTCCCGACACACCTTCGTTTGTCGTTATTCCTAGAATGTTTTGGTGAAATCTGACGAAAATCGGTCAAATCTCCATACCCTATTAATTTGCTCAAAGTGGTTGTATTCCTTCAAAAATCAAACGCGAGATTTTAGCTCATCTAGGATTCGCAAACAACTCGCGCCACTCCAGAAGATTATCTCGCCTCCTGAAACCGCAAACCGATGGAACGGGACCTCCTGGCGTTAATGACGGTGGATTAACGTCATACGACAACAGGATATTGTGGTTTCTAAAAGTATGTCTTCTGTTAACCCTTAGATCACAAAAGCGGAAAATGAAACTTTACCACCGGAAAGATAGACAGACAGACAGACAGACGTAAAAGACTGCTGGCACTATCGATCTACCTAATCTGTCAAGACCTCTGAGATTTATGGCTTTCAACATATGAAAATCATGTGTGCACTGCGGTTGAAGAAACGAATATAGAATCGAACCTCGTAGTTATGAACATTGCTGAACTAGTAGTTGAAATAAGGCTTTAAAAAAATCATGACCTTTGCGATACCGGTGCAAAGCTCTACCAACTGAGCTAACAAACCTCTGAGATTGTTTGGAGGTTATCGCAAGTTTTCTGAGTGATGAAAACTTCAAAACCAATTAAAACCGGTCGAATTGGACTGGTTGTTCTCAAAGTGCGTCTTCTGTTAAACTTTATCTTTTGGTAAAAGAGATCACAAAACATAAGCGAAAAAATAATCCTACAAAACATTAAATGAAAGCTGATTCCATTGCAGAAGTAGGTCTTCCGCTTTGCTATGCCCACAAAAGCATCTTTGTTTGAAGTGCAGCTAGTGGTACTTTTAGTCAATTGAATTTGTTCTTCATTTGCAGTTTCAAATATTAGAAGTGTTTCAAATCGATCTCATGTCGGCACAAGATTTAATGTGAGGTGGCACTCTCAGAATGTTCGCCTTGATTCCCTAGGTTCATGAAGTTCACATAATTATTTGTCCTTCAAACCTTTACACTCATTTTTGCAAAATGCTTGATATAGAAGTTTAGACATTGGAATATATATGTATAAATCAGTTTTCTGGTTATAGTTTATGTATATAATTTTTTCAGACAGTCATCCTACCAATTCAAAGTATCATTTTTGATGTTCTAAGGGTTTAAGTTTATCTTCTTTTTGGCTTTCGAGAGAAAAAAATATGTAAAAACAATAGTGCAAGACTCAAAGACTGAAAAACATGATTGTTGTCAGGTTCCACTGTGGACTCTGAATAAATTGTACTGCTAACATCACTGTGTACCGATAAACTTGTTGAGAATGATTAAAAGAGTGCTTATCGTGTCTGGCCGCCGCCTCTGAGAGGGAAATGGGACAAAATGTTTTTAGAACCTTCAGTATGGTTGAGTCTAGGAAGTGAAATCCATTGGGTCGAATTTGAAGAACAGTGATTAACCGAGCGGCAGTAAACGCGAGAAAATTAACCATGACGTCAACATGAAGTGAAGTCTTAAAGTGTGTCTTCTGTTAAACTTTATCTTTTGATAAAATAGATCACAAAACATAAGCGAAAAAGGAATCCTACAAAATATTTAACGAAAGCTGATCCCACCGAATAAGTAGGTCTTCCGCTCTGTTATACCCACATAAACATTCGCGGGGCTTCCCCGTTTAAACATGAAAGTCTAATTAACCGGGACGTGAACATGAACCGAGCCAAAACCGAGCCGGTTCTTCAATTGTTCGTCAAATTATTCGTAGCCCGCTCTCCAGTGCTGGTACCTACATCAACCAGATGAAGAAACGCAATTTGGAAAGGCTATAGGGCTAAGTTATGGAAATCTCATTAACATCATGGACGATATACTTGTTCACTTAAACAAGACTCAACCTTGCACCGTCTTCGATGAAAGTTTCTTGAGGAGAAATCACGATCGTAATAAACAATAGTTGTACAAAATGGTTTACCATCAAATTAGAACATTGCTACCTCTCGATCGAACAGTGCACAGTGTGAGAGTAAAGACAATAAAATTTCGTCTGTTTTGCTAACTTCGTTTGCTACATTGGTCGAGAAAATCGCAGGGCTAAAAGTAACATTAGGACTAGAAATAGAAGAGTGGTGTAATGTCTAGTTTTATTACAGATTCACTCAAATAGATTGCAAATAGACAATAAACTTAAGTAAATTATCACTACAACAAAGAAGACAACCAAAAGCAGTGACGCACCATGTAATAAAAGTACATAGAAATATAAAAATAAAATTAAAACGTTCCTTTAAAGGCTACAATACTGTATTTGATTCTCAATTATTATTAGGTAAACTACCCTGTTTATAAAGAACCTGTGTGTGTGTGTCATTTTTTCTCAAGTTACAATTTATATTTCTGTCCTTACAAAATAGGAGCTTGTTTGAAATAGCTGTATTATTAATGTCCACTAATTAATTACATTGAAAAAACTGTAACATCTCTTATGAACCTCCTTCTAGATAATGAAAGCAATTTTAACTTAGATAATCTTGTATCATAATGATCATCAGACTTATAGTGATCCATCTGATGGCTCTTCGCTGGACAGCCTCTAGTTTATCAATGTTGCATTCAGTATATGGGTTTCAAGTTTTGCATGAATATTATAATAAAGGTCTCACAAGAGTATAATAGTAAAGTGTTTTCACAGTATCAATGTCATTTAAGTCTCTACAAGTCCTTTTGAACAGCCCTAAAACCCTATTAACCTTAGTTATTTTATCCACATGTTAGTTACATGAAAGATCACAAGTAGTAAACAATCCTAAATCTTTATACACACTAACACTTTCCAAAGGTTGACCTTCCATATTATTTTCCCCAATTAAAGGTGACTTTTCCCTAGTTAGTCGCATTGTCATCTTATTCATATTACACCATTCTGATATTTTATCTGTGTCACTTTGAAAAGTAGTCAGGTCTTCTTGGGTATTGATAAGCCTCAGTAATAGATCCAGACCTTGAGTAAAAGGAAAGCCGGTTTTTTGTCCCTTGCCCTGTCAGCTTTTCTTCTTTTGGCTATTTTTTGTTCACCCAAAATATGAGAAGGCCCAAGCCCCCTTAGCCCCTCCCCTAGATCCGCCACTGAGCCTGTAAATTTTACTGTCGTCAGCTTACAGACCAATTGAACTGTCCTTACTAATTACCCCCCGGTAAATCATTAATATATACTATGAAGAAAAATGGTCCCAAGGAACCTCGTGGGACATCAGAGGTCACGTTCAACCGATCAGGTCACTTTCACTACTACACGCTGTTGACCTTCTGTTAGAGAACCCCTACACCAGTTCAACTAGCCTCTGTCGATACCATATTTGCAAAGCTTGGCTAAGAGGATATCATTCCATTCTCATTTTTTGTACAAACCTGGCTCTTGTTTTATGTGTAATTTTCTTTCGTATTGCATTATTTTTAATAAGATCATAGACTTTCGATGACTTTTGTACGTTTTTACTCAAACGGCTCCGTACCTAACTCTGCAGTTTTCTAATTTTCTGAGAGAGACGTTTTAACATCTTCTGGTACTCTGCTTGGTTCACGATCATGTTTATAGCATGGCATTCACACGAAACACGAGTATAATTATAATATACATACTTTTCATGACGAGATCTGAATTGTTGTACTTTTATTGACACCACACCATCATTATGTTCATGTACATTAGTCATATTGACAGCTTTCTCTAGTAGATCACAGTCATCAGGAGCATTTATCATGTCTTCTACTAAGCACATACAACTCAGTGCGAAGAGCAAACCAACATTCACGATCGCTTTGAAAAGTCTATAAATACTACATCAACTTCTCTCTCCTCTGTAATTTTCAACTGGCTCTCGTTCACCATCCTTATGAATAGGTGTAATGTCAGCTGATTTCCATAATTTAGGCAGGCGTCTCTTTTTGACAGAAAGATTGAAGAACATACTCAGAGGAGCTGCAGATGCATTAGCAGTCTCCTTTAGTAAACTAGCAGGTATTTTATCAACTCCACAAGACTTATTACTCGGGCTTCCGTAGGAAAGCCCGAGTCTTAAAGTGCTAGCCGTTCTTGGTCGCCAAAAGGGGGTCATGGTCCCAGGCGTTCCCTGCGTAAACCGCGGAAACTGGGGATGAGAGTGCGACAACTTGTGTTATCATGTGCTCGCTCTTCTTAAACAACATAATTTACTGAATGCTGAGTTTTGTGAGAACCGCTTTGTAAAGATTCCTGTCTTATATATTCATCTCACATACAAAATGATATCGAGCGTTTTCGGAATGGGCTGGTCCACGAACTCTATAGCTTGAGAGCTAGCCAAATGTGCAAAGCTCATACCACATGTGAGTTCAAACTACGAAAATACTGGCAAAACGGTAACAGCCGAATTAACAACTATGATGCTGAGACGAACACCTCATTTGCTGAAAAATCAAGAATGTTCATGAACACAACTTCAAAGGCGGCGCAACAGCGAATTGGATAAGGATACTAACAGAGGCAACTTAAATAGTAAGGTTAAATATCTAAGCTTAGCTCTTCCGTTAAATATCCTGTTTCTGTTATGGGTTTTTATTGGATTCAATACTAGTAAAGTACGATTTGATATCTCGTACATTTATCACTATTATTATTGTACAAGCGTTCGTGAATGTTGGTTTGCTCTTCGCATTGAGTTGTATGTGCTTAATAGAAGACATGATAAATACTCTTGATGACTGTGATCTACTAGAGAAAGTTGTCAACATGACTAATGTACAAGAAAATAATGATGTTACGGTGTCAATAAGAGTACAACAATTCAGATCTCTTCATGAAAAGTATGTATATTATAATTATGCTCCTGTTTTGTGTGAATGCCATGGCTATACACATGATCGTGAACCAAGCAGAGTACCAGTAAAGATGTTAAAACGTCTCTTTCAGAAAATTAGAAAACTGCAGAGTTATGTACGGAGCCGTTTGAGTAAAATCGTACAAAAGTCATCGAAAGTCCATGATCTTATTAAAAATAATGCAACACGACAAAAAATTACACATAAAACAAGTGCCAGGTTTGTACAAAAAAATGAGAAGGAAACCAAATTTTAGAACAAGAAACTTTAACTCTTCAATGAGATATGTCTACAATTCAAGTAGAGATAAACATGGAAAG